ACTTACAGTCCTAGACAGGCAGGGGTGATTGGTGTAGGCACAGGTATCTGGCTGCAGTAAGGGGTCATGCATTGAGCAAGGCAGGGTTCTGATGGCTGCCCCTGAGTGTCTGGGATGAAAGCTTGTCCCTGTTCCCTACGGCACATAGGTGGGTGGGTTTCACAGCCAAACTATGGGTGCCCAGTGCTGTTGACTGGAAGCACTGGGAAGCATCACTTACTCTTGGACCCCTGTCGTGGGTGGTTAGGTGACGTGGGTGAAGCCACAGTGAGGACCCTGCTTAATGGGTGGAGCCGTGTCAAATGTCACAAACCTGCAACTCCACCATATAGCTGATACAGTTAAAGTTAGACTTCAGGTATATACCCTGTTGTACTGTGGTAATGAGGGCCTATGCTGTTGAAGTGGGCCCACACAGGTCTGTTCAGGGGTGAAAGGCATTCAAAGTCCTTGGACCCCTTATGCTTGTGTCTAGGCAAAGGAGCTGTGCCTGCCCTGGGTTCCTGGCTTAGAGGAGATGGCAGATTATTTTTTCTTGTTTGTTAATTTATTCCCTCTCGAAGACTGGGAGAAAGGCTCAGGGCGCGTGGCAGGTCCCCCTTCTGGCCCAGGGATCGTGGCAATCGCTGAAGCTGGCCCAGGACCCAGTGCAGAGTGGGGAGGGGCAGGTAAATGGGAGAGAATTTCTTCCCTAACGGGGTATTTTTTGATCCATGCAGTAGGTTAAATGCATTTACTTATATTTTGCTGATTGAACATCGCATTTTACTGGTTCTGGAGGTGTAAGTAGAGTCTCCGCCGCTGGGTCTCTCCCAGTGTGCAAAATGTGTGACGAGCCCTACTGCTTGTGTCACCGTGCACAGCAGCCTATCTGGGCTGAAGGGTGCTAGTTCCCGCCGAGTCAGGTCTGGCAACTCTTTGCTGCTTCTGAATTGTCTCTCCTTCCCCCTGCCACTCAGGCGATTACTCAACTGTGCCTTTGATGTTCAGGGGTCCTAGATTGTCATATATAATCGATTCACTGGTTTTTTCAGGTGTTGGTTGTAAGAGGGCCACAGGAAATGTCTGACTACTCCACCATCTTGGCCCTGCCTCCTCACATCATATGATTTTTCTGGCTCGATATTCTGCAAATTCATTTGTTTGATCATCAAAATTTATAGTTTTAACAACTTCATTTTCAATCATAACTGAAAGCTGTGTTGGTCGCTCCTGGCAAATGCAAGGTGGCAGATAATATTTTTATTTTGAAAAGGATCTTTCTACTGATGCAACTATTGCTGGAGCTTTTGAGAGTATTTTATAGGCTGTAACAACATTGGAACACATTTCTGATAACTTTCAAAATATAAATTTTAGCACATCTAAATCAGATAATTTTTGTGGAACAGTTTTTCTAAGAATTAATTCTTCACACAATTCCATTTCATGTAAGTCTGAATTTAATTTTAAATGTAAATGTATGAGTATTACTTTAATGTATCCTCTGACATTTCCTGTGGAGGGCTTACAAGAAACCAAAACTGTCTTTATGAGTTCTGTATAATTCAAAAATGCATATTTTTTATGCATTATGTCACTGTATCTTCAACTTTACAGAGAAATTAATTTTAAAATGGTCTTCTTCATTAATAATTTGTTTTTGTGTGAAGATTCTTATGAAAAATGCTTTTTTCATCCAGTGTATTTAATTTCTGTGTATGTGGATATTTCCTTTGTAATGTTGCAGCAGTTTTCATAACCAGAGTATAAATTCTCTGAAGAATTCTAATAACCCCCATTATGCTTTACTGCCATGTCCATGTGTAGGCTTTTATGTTTTCATGATTACTATCCTGGTGTGCAGGCTGGAGAGTTAATGTTTGTGCAGACTCCATAGGGACTGGCTTTGAGGATGGAGGGACAAGCTGGCCTCCCACCTCAGGTTCCAGCACTGCCTGAGCCCCTTACGTCTCTGCTGGCTGTAGCTGCTGCGCTGCTGCTGTCACAGCCACCAGTCTGGGCCCGGGTCCCACCCTGCCTGACCACCATGCCAATTGCTCGGTGCTGGGCTGCATGCCATGCCCATGGAGTGCCAGAGTCTCCACCGCTCACATGCCTGCTCCGTCAGACGGCTCTTACAGAACACAGGTTCAAAGATGAAGTCACTGAGAACTTCCAGATGGCAGCCTCGGAGCGTGGGCACCTTCGCGGGGCAGGCCCCTGTGCGAGCGCGCAGGTCCTCTGCCCAGGAAGCCAGCCGACATGGTCCTGTTTATCTGAGAATGCAGGTGCAGCCGCTGCTTTGAGTTGGCCTGTTCCTTCACAGACCCCTCCATCCTTCATTTAAAGGGTATTTCAACTGAGCGCTCCCTTTGGCAGGTGTGTGGATGGGAAAATTAGTTTCTTATTCTAGAAACATGAGAACAGCAGGTACCAAAAATCATGATCGCCTCTGGGTTTGAGAGAAAATTCACAGCAATCAAAACACTTCCTTCCTAAGAGAGGTAAAGCCTATAGTCAGAGATGATATTCAGAACCCTTACCAGCTGGTTCCACGCTGACACCCATGTCTGCTCTGTGGGTGTTGAGCTTGGTTACTGGATGGGGAGGGACTCCATCGTTGACTAGCTGGTGCACAATTATTGCCTGTGGTTGGAAGAGAAAACCAAAAATCCAAACTATTGCCATTGAGTTGATTCTGACTCATGTGACCCCATATGTTAGAGTAGAACTGACCCCCATAGGCTTTGTTGTTTGTAATCTTTAAGGAAGCAGTTTGCTGGACCTTTCTTCCTCAGAGCTGTTGGGTGGGTTCAAACCACCAGCCTTTAGGTTAGCAGCTGATCTCAAACCATTTGCGCCACCCGGGGACATTGGTGGGTGAGAAGCTGCAGAGATTTCATGACCTAGTGAAGCTACTGAAACCCTAAAGGGGTGAAGTATAGTATCCCAGGAAGGCTTTTGATTTGAAGCATGAAATTGAGCCAACCACAAAAAGTTGCTCATGGGATATTTTTGGCCTATAAAAATGGCAGTTTCATATGGTCCAGTGTAATAGTTCAGAGCTGACATAACTGTCAGACTGAGCAGTCTTGATATCAATGATAGGTTATTGAGATACACCTAAATAATCGGTTTTTGCTTTGTTTATGATCACGCAGTACTCATAATGCACACAGATGCCTATTCATAGGTGTCAGTAAAATTCTCTTTGATCTTTTTACATGGAGATAATGTAAACGCATAGCTGTGAACTTCCTCCACTCAGTGCTCTCTGTTTGCCCGTCATCTGATCTAACTGCTCCCAGCTGTTTCCTCTCAGTGTTTCAGCTGGCACAGTGCTTCCAGTGGATGGCATGAGTGCCAGCAGACTGATCAGACATGGCGTCAGAGTCCTTGGTCATTTCCAATGCCCAAGGAAGTCTGAGCCCTAGACTAGAAGACAGGAACCCTGAGCTCTAACTCCAGCACCTTCACTAGGAAGTTTTCTGTCCCAAGGCAAGTTGATAATCACTCTGCCTCGGTTTCCACCTTTGCAAATGGTTGTGTTCCTTACCTTGTGACTTGGGTGGTGAAGATATGGTGAAGTATTTGGAAGAATACTTAAATTTTCTAAACATTCTAAAACATTCTTTTATTATATAATAATTTTAAAAATATACCACATAACTTGATTTATTGCAGTTTGCATGGTTGATCCAAGACCACAGGAGGAAGCTCAGTTGCTTTAGCGTTCGTCAGAAAGATCCAGCGAAGCAGGAGCTATCCACTGTTACAGCTGTGGGAGTTTCTCAGAAATGCGGCAGGTGGCGCTCTCTCCTATGTTATAGCTAAGGAGAGCGGGTTACTGTTTAGAGTCAAGATGGAGATGATGCGTAAAGCTGCACATGGGTCAGTGTTTCTTAACAAGATGATTATTAACGACAGATTGGCCTGAAGAGGAATGGGCTGATACAGTCATTTTACTTTTGAAAAAGAAGGGAGATAGGAGATGCCAGGCAAGAAGGAAAGGATTACAAGAAGGTATTGGTGTAATCTAAACTCAGAAGAATTTCCTGTATGGAAACAGAAATACACTGGTGCAGGAAAACAAGATTATAGTCTAGGTATTTGGAAAAGAGAAGGGAGCATTGTATGAAATTATGTGAAACTAGTGAGAGAGTCTCCAGAGGGTTCTTTTTTTGTCAAGCAGCTGATGAGGATGTAGAGCTTTCTCGGAGAAAACAGCGGCAGCGCCTGCTATGTCCCTTGCTTTGGTGTCTTTGCAGAAAAGCCAGTTCTTTACTTTCACTCCTGCTGTTAGTAAGTGTACGTGCAGGCCGTATTTGTGATGCTCACCCCTTAAGACCAGTTGAATATATATTCAGAAATGATTGATTTCCTGGTTCTCTTATTGTGGAAGCAGAGTCTCTTGAAAGAATCTTAAGTGTTTTTGAGAATTTGACCGTAACAAGAGAGGTGGGTCTTTCAACTTGGAGGACTTCCCGTGGAGCCTAATCACAGGGCTGACTCTGAGCATCTAGAGAAGTAATTTCATCCAGTAGTTTTAATAACCGTGGGAAAGTAAGCCTTGACATTTAAAGTTTAGACTTACCAGTAAATATCCACACATGACCTTTCATTGAACAGAATACCATGTAGGATCGTTTCTCTTCCAATGTTCTCATCTATTGGTGTCTCCCAACCAAAGCAAAGCACCTATGTCTTGAGCAAACAGATGGTTCCCACACCTTCTGAATACCACCGATCCGACAGATAATCCAAGGGAACATTTAAAATTACTTCTGTTGTTATTTATGCTTCTTTTCCTGTTAGGATAAAACTGTGTGGCAAACGAATGTGCTCATTTTTCATGAGAGAGAACTACAGAAGAGAATGAATTAGAGGTAGCTGAACTCTTAGCTGCGGCCCTGGGTTTTCTGAATTGGCTTCCTGTGGGCGTTTCCCTCGGCGTTGCTGTCCACCGTCAGTGTGGTCCACCGGAGCATGACAGCTTCTCAAAGTTATTGTTCTTCCAGGTCAACTGACGAGACGTTTAGCTTGGCTGAAGAGACCTGTAGTTCTAACCCAGCCATAGTTCGGAGGAAGAAAATTGCCATCAGCATCATCTTTTCCCTGTGTGAGAAAGAAGAAGCACAAAGGAATTTCCAGGACTTCTTTTTTTCTCACTTCCCCCTGTTTGAATCTCACATGAACAGGCTGAAGAGTGCAGTTGAAAAGGTAATAGGAGTGTAATCCAATGTCAAATGGAGAAGCAGTGTACAATTATGGGGCTTGTAAAGACGGTAGAGGCTGTTTATGTGTCAGATGACTTTCCTAGAGAAGCTAAATCATCCGCAGCCGTGATAGATCCTCGGGCAATTGGTGTTAGATGTCAGATACTGGACTGCTTTTGGAAAGGAAATTGCCACTTTCTGATGGCTTAAGTCATTATTACTTGAATGCTTTTAATCGACCATAGTTGATCACTGTCTTTTATTAATAAAGCCCTGTAGGTAAGTTATACAGGAATGTATTCTCAGTAATTTGGCTTGCTTTCTCTTGGATGAAGGCTATGATCTCCTGTAGGAAGATAGCAGAGTCCAGTCACCGAGTCCAGTTTTACATCAGCCGCCTGATGGAGGCTTTGGGAGAGTTCAGGTAAGTTGGTAACATTTGGCCAACCCCAGAGAAAAAATACACCAACAGATAGTAGCAGCATGCATGGATCTAGGGTACAGAGAAATTGTGACTTGGAAGAATCGAGTGGGACTGGCAATTATTAGTCACTTTAATGGCTCCTCCTTTCGGATAGAAACTGAGACCAAACAGAGCAAAAATTGAAGTAATTAACACTAAGTAATCCTCATTGAACCCCTTGCCATCAAGTTGAATCAGACTCATAGCGACCCTGTAGGACAGAGTTGAACTGCCCCATAGGGTTTCCACAGCTGTTATCTTTACAGAAAGGAGCCCTGGTGGCCCAGTGGTTAAGCACTCAGCTGCTAATCGAAAGATCGGCGGTTTGAACCCACCGGCTGCTCCTCAGGAGAAAGATGTGGCAGTCTGCTGCTATAAAGAATTACAGCCTTGGAAACCCTATGGAGCAGTTCTCCTCTGCCCTTAAGGGTCACTGTGAGTTAGAATCAACTCCACGGCAATGGGCTTTTGGTGGGTAGTCCTCACTACTGCCTGACAGCCCTTGACACGGGATGAATGTGGGAAAATAATATTAGGTGTCTCTTGTGAGCCTGTTTATTATCTTACATCATCTTCACAGAAGCCCTAAGGGTAAGCAGTATTAAGCCCATTTTAAAGATGTAGAAACCTGAGTTCAGAGATGCTTGTCCAAAGCGGGGATGGAGAGAGTATGTATGTCAGAGAAAGAAACATTCCACTTTGCCAGGACAATCCTAGTTTATACCTGTTGTCCCCTTTTACTCATGGAGCCCTGGTGGCACAGTGATTAGGAGCTCAGGCTGCTAACCAAAAGGTCAGCAGTTCAAATCCACCAGCTACTCCTTGGAAGCCCTATGGGGCAGTTCTCCTCTGTCCTACAGGGTTGCTTTGAGTCAAAATCGACTCAACAGCAATAGGTTTTTTTTTTTTTTTCCCTCACATATGTGTCCTGGTTTGGACATTAAATTATATAGTCACCTACTGTGTCTTCATAATTTTTGTTTGATTTGTACTCTGGAAACCGGTTTTCTAGAGTCCTTGCTCCTAGTAGAAAGGTAATCTGCTTCGGGTGGCAGGTGGGATTCTCTTCCACCATGCTGAGCCGAGGTCGTCACACCGGTCCCTAGAGCCAGTGTCTCAGTGGGGAACGGAATCCCACTCCAAAGCGGTCATGAGCTCGTGAGTCAAACTGTCACTCCTTAGCCAAGAGATAAACAATTTCGCAATCCTTTGAATGTTAGAACATTTTTGTGATGCTTAAGATATATGGTGGTGAACTCTGTAATGCCACTTCGAGCAAAATCACCAGCCTTTTTTGAACCCTGGGTTATGTATAAAGTACTCAAGTACTCAGATAATACATTAGTCATTATCTAGTGAGCCCTGGTGGCACAGTGGTTAAGCAGTCGGCTGCTAACCAAAAGTTGGCAGTTCAAATCCACCAGTGGCTCCTTAGAAACCCTATGGGGCAGTTCTATGTCCTGTAGGGTTGCTGTGAGTTGGAATTGACTCAACGGCAATGGGTTGGGGTTTTTTGGTTTTAGTGACTGTTAAGTTTTAAATCACATATGCTTGAGAAATAATGGGAAGCCGTGCTTTTTGATGGCCAGCTGATCGTTGGTCGGCCTTACATAGCGTGTGTGGACAGCCCTAGGGTTTTACCTGTTGCTCTGCTGCGGTCTGGCTAGGAGCTGATTTGTGCTTGAGAGTCTGGGTACTAATTTAATGAAGTAGCCATTTTTAGGGGTCAAGAACCTGAGAGTACAGAACCAGAAAGCCTCACTGTATATACAGACAGGCCTTGTTCTGACTTCACCAATCAAGTAAGAAGTGGCAACAAAATAAGGAGACCTTAAGTTTTAGTACATGAATCCCCCTTCCAGGTAACCATAGCTTGGTGTTGCTGCATAACTCAGGAAGTGCCCTGTGTTTTGCTGAGGTGGAATTTTGTTGTGTCTCAAATATTTCCCACACGTATTTAGAACATCAACTCAGAGAATGTCTCACCTATCTTGACTTGGGAAGAGTGTTTTATATTCTGAGATACAGTGGCCTCTTATGCAGTGGAGACCCTAAGCTAAGTCAGTATGCTCTTTGGAAAAACGCTCATGAGTCCTGTAGCCTGGAGTAGAGCCCCCTGTACCAGGCACTGTGGGACCTGCATTCTCATCCTGAGCTTGTCCTTAAATATTTGTTCCTTGCTCAAGTAACTTCATCTCTCTCTAGGCCTCAGTTTCTTAATCTGCAAAGTGATAGAACTAGACTAGTGAGTTTCTCTGATTGCTTACAGCTCTAAGAATTTGGTTCTGTTAGTCCATGTAAAAGCTAAGTATATGGTATAGTAAAGAAGAGCTGTTTGTGTAGGTTTTCATCTAAAATGAATAGGGTGCTTAGCTCAGAGAACTAAAGCATTAACCAGGAATTAGGAGAGTTGAGTTGTTTCTGGTTACATTCTCAGTATAGCATATACTTCTCCCTTTACTTCCTCACTGTAAAAACGGGTATAAAATCTGATACACAAGGCATTGGAAAATGAATTGTTTTCAAAATGAACGTTTTATATCAGGGGTCGGCATGCTTTTTCTGTGAAGGACCAGATAGTAGACATTCTCGGCTTTGCGGGCTATAGGGCCTCAGTCACAGCTGCTTACCTTTGCCATTGTGGTGAGAGAGCAGCCATAGACAATATGTGAATCAATTGCCGTGTTCCAATAAAACTTTATTTACAAAATAGTTACCAGTCAGATTTGTCCTGTGAGCATGGTTTACAGACCCATTTTATATACTGCTTGAATTAGGAACCCCATGGATCTAAATTTTTGTTTTCTTCTTTATTTTTTTATGCAGAGGTTACTCAAAATAATATTTCTGGCAATTTTGTGTGCCCCTTCTTCTTCTCTATAGGGGGACTATCTGGAACTTATATTCTGTTCCAAGGATAGCAGAACCCGTATGGCTTACCATGATGTCCAGCACTTTGGAAAAAACCCAGCTCTGCCAGCGCTTTCTCAAGGAGTTTACTCTTCTGATAGAACAGATCAACAAAAACCAGTAAGCTTCGACTCTCTGGAGACTTGGGTGTGCACGTATGCAAATTCCGTGGGCAGTGTACGTGCTGTGTCTGACGGGCCTCGCCTGTGCCGACTCATCTGGTTGTGTCTTCTCTCATTCCTTCCAGGTTTTTTGCTGCCTTACTGACTGCAGTGCTAACCTACCACCTGGCCTGGGTCCCGACCGTCATGCCTGTTGACCACCCTCCCATTAAAGCCTTCTCAGAGAAACGCACCTCCCAGTCAGTGAACATGCTGGCCAAAACACACCCGTACAATCCTCTCTGGGCGCAGCTGGGTTCGTACCTAATGGGACTCTTCAGAGGGGGTGTGGGGGGCGGACAGGAGAAGTGTTAGAATTTGTAGTTTATACTGGCTATCCACCCAGTAATCCAGGGCTTGTCACTGGGCAGGCAGGGAGTAGGAGGCTGGCCTGTGGATTCTGACTGTGAGGAGACCACCTCACCTCTTTTCTCCCCTTGCTAGCAGCTTTGCCCTGCTCTTGTAAAACAGTGTTAGTAAATTGTGTTCTCCCATACCATGGTGGCTGTTAAGCCTAGAGCAGGTTTTCTCAGACTCAGCTCCGTTGACAGTTTGGACCAGGTACTTCGTTGTTGGGAGTGCGTGGGGCTGGTGGCTGTCTTGTGCATCGTAGGATGGAGAGCCGTATCCCTGGCCTCTGTTCACTAGATCCCAGTAGAAGCATGCCCCCCCCCACTTGTGACAATCAAAAATGCGTCCAGGCATTGCCGTGTGTCCCCTGGAGGGCAAAATCGTCCCCTAGTTGGGAACCACTCCCCTAGAGCATGGACTGAATAGGAGAAAGATAAGAGAGAAAAAGAAAAAGTAACACAACATAATTCCAGCACTTTTAAACTTTACCTTAAGTCAAAAATCTTGTCTTTCTCCACACTGCTCATTTGCAGCTAGTTGGTAGCATTTATTCTCTCAAAGCTTTATACGCAGGCGTGGTGTAGGTATCTAATGCATTGGTATAGGTGGTTACAGAGTTTGGGGCTTATGGGTCTTGAACTGCATATTTGGGTTCATGTGGAGGAGAGGTGTACTCTGGACCTCTCAGTCACTGAACGTTTAGAATGACAAAATAAAACACACACACTTAACTCTGTTCTACACTGTGCTAGATGCCAGGGATGTGGAGTTGAGTAACACATCTGCCTATAGCCTCAGGAAGCTAGCTGATTGCCTAACAGTGGAGGCAGATTTGTATTCAGACAATTTAAACATCCTGATTACTCCTTTGATAGGGGTGTGCAGGAGTATCATACGGCATCGTGGTTAAGAGCGTTGGTGCCAGAGCTAGAGTGCCTAGATGGACTGGTCTCCATCACTTACCAACAGAGTGACCATGAGCAAGTTACTACCTTCTCTTTGCCTCACTTTCTCCATTGTAAAATGGTTGCTGTGGGGTCAAATTAGTTATATACACTAATGGACCACAGCTACCAAACCTCCACCAGCCTGAGCCCAGAACAACTAGATGGTGCCCAGCTACCACCACTGACTGCTCTGACAGGGATCACAGTAAAGGGTCCCAGACAGAGCTGGAGAAAAATGTGGAGCAAAATTCAAATTCACACATACACACACACAAAGGCCAGACTTGCTGCTCTGACAGAGACTGGAGAAACCCCAAGAGTATGGCCCCAGGGTCACCCTTTTAACTCAGTACTGAAGTCACTCCTGAGGTTCACGTTTCAGTCAAAGATTAGACAGGTCTAGAGGGCAAATAACACACACGAGGAACGTGCTTCGTAGTTCAATCGTGTACGAGACTAAATGGGCTCACCAGCCCCAAAGCAAACACAAGAAGGCAGGAAGGGACAGGAGAACTGGACAAATGGAAACAGGGAACCCTGAGTGGAGAAAGGGAGAGTATTGACACATCGCAGGGTTGGCAACTAATGTCACAAAACAATTTGTGTATTAATTGTTTAATGAGAAACAAATTTGCCCTGTAAACTTTCATCTAAAGCACAATAAAAAAAAAATAGTTCTATACATACGAAGCATCTTTGTTATTGATGCTGCTGGTGCTAACGTTAATATTGGAAGGGTACCCAGAGAGATAAAGGGAGGGCATGGTGGGAATGTTCAAGGAAGGCTGGCTTAAGGAAAGCTTAAGATGACATTTTCCAGAAAAAGAAGTTCTGGACTGGGGAAAACACTGTAACCTTAGAAAACATGTTTTAATAACAGTAATGAAAAGTTGACACCATGAGCAAAATACTGTTTTAAGTGCCTTTCACAATATTAATAAATTAATTGGATTCTCATTGTATCCTCATTACTGTTAGCCTCATTTTATAGTCAATAAAGATGCTGTGCAGCCCTGTGCCCTTGGTCTCGAGCTTAGGGGGTAACAGGTGTGTGTTAAAGAAATCAATTAGATAGTTTATGGATATTAACAATGGACTTAATGCAGACAGTCAGTACTGAGTTCAGAAAAGAACCCAGAACATGTATAACTCACTCTGGGTGGTGTGGTTCTTCCTCAGGAGAACAGAGCATTGTTGTTCTTGTCATGGAACAATAATCTGGAGAAAAATGTGGTGTCATTAGTGGAGAAAGGCAGGGGCCTGGATATTAGGGAAACATGGTGTTTCATGCTGCCGGGTCACCCATTTAAGAACAATGCTAATTAAGCAGTGCACGTTTAATTAGATAAATGTATTTATAATTAGACGTGCTTCTCATTTGAAATTTAACTAATCGAGAGCCATTAATTCCCTGTGTTCAGCATACAAGGGAAAGTCCCTTTCTGTGGTTCATAATCATCATTTTCCAGAGGTGACCATGCATTATCGAAAGTTACCAGTCCTCCCTTTTCCCGAATAATCCAGCAGGGGCCTGGGTGTTGACTCGAGAGTGTGAGGAGGAGGTCAGGCCCTGGCACAGAGAAGCCACGTGGTAGCTTTGGAAAGCCAGGTGTAAATGACGGTTGAATTTCTATTATTACAAAAGAGCGAATGGCTTCAATAATTTGACAGAGGAGATGCTTCCAGTTATTATTGTTTTTTTAATTAATTATTTAGCAAGTCACAGTAGATGAGAAAATATAAATTGCTGAGAATATGCAGTGATGCAGGTGTAGTTTTAATCAGGCTTCTGAAATATTCTGTCTTGAATGACTTCAGAGACTTCCTGAGAGCTTGCCAGGACAGGTCCCACTGGTGTGCCCACTTCTGCCTGGCTTCTCAGCATTCCCGGGGAAGGGAGGCAGGAAGCTGGAAGCAGCCAACACCCTTCACGCTCTCATGGACTTGTTGTACAAGGATTCCCAACCTTGTCCCTGCCTAACCATGTACTCTGTGCAAGGATTTCTCAAAATGTGGATTATAACCTGTTTTAGTGGGCTCCAGAAGCAACCTAGTAGTCAAAAAAGCATTGAAAAGGTATGATGGAATAGAAAATATCAGAGTGACTCACACAGATGTTTTGTGAAATGTTCGTTTTGGAGGGTGTGTGAGCTTGCAATATAAAGTACATTTCTTTCCTAAGGTGGGTATACAGAGTTTGAATGCCAGTGAATTATACCCCTTAGGATTCCCGCTCAGTCTCTTTTTGACCCTAATGATCTTAGTGATTTGTGGAAATGAAAAAAGCAGCTTTTCTCCTCAAAAAATGTTTGAGATCACTGGTTTACATTAATACAAGTAAAAATCTGAAATTTCTTCTTCATTTTTTAAAATAATACTCATGAAAACAAAGAAATCTAGTCTAAAATTAGTAGCCTTATCAGTCTAGGACTCAAAAAATTGCCTTCGAGTTAAACATCCAGTAAATCTTTAATATTAAGGGTCTACTATTTTTATGATGCATTATTTTATGGAGTTAGGCTGTAAAGTAACAGTACAGATTACACACACTTTGCTCTCATTACTTTGTATAGTTTAAATTATTATATATTTTATTATTTCTTTATTTTTTCCCATACAAAAATTTATACATACATTGTTATATGACTCTAATTGCTTTTCCCATACTGTGACAGCACACTCCTCCTTTCCACCCCTGATTCCCCGTGTCCGTTCAACCGGCTCCTAACCCTCTCTGCCTTCCCATCTCACCTCCAGACAGAAGCTGTCTGTTTAGTCTCTTGTATCCACTTGAGCTAAGAGGCACACTCCTCATGAGTATCACTTTATGTCCAATCCGTGTGTGAAGAGTTGGCCTTGGAAATTATTTTGTTTCTGGGCTGATACAGAATCCAGGGGCCACGCTTTCCAGGGTTCCTCCAGTCTCAGTCAGACCATTAAGTCTGGTCTTCTTACTAGAATTTGAGTTCTGCACCCCACCTTTCTCCTGTTCCATCCAGGA